ATACTTCTAACACTTTGTTGATATGTTCAATGGTTGCAAAAGTCTAGTGAATTGTTGATTTAATGGTTTGTTTTTTTTTAATAGATATTATAACTGTTTATATGTCTTTTTATTACTTTGATTATTTCAGACCAATAAAACAAAACAAAACAAAACGTAACAATGATGTAATGTTTCATTATGTAATACCGAAAAACTCCAAGAAATGGCCAACCGGCTCAATACAAAAAATTGGCAAATCCAAAATGAGGTTTTATTTCTGAAGCTTTACTGGGTCGCAACCTGGAAGAAATGTCTTTATTATAGATAAATTCCAATTCATGTATATAATTGGTTCTCAATAAATATATTTGTTTTCAATGGTCATATATGTAGTTTTTATTTTCCAATACACCTGATACACATACGATAAAATACATATAATCGTCCATAGATTCTACCCATTCACCTAATCCGATACTTATGTGTATTAAAGGGTATATCGATCATCATAGTTATACTTACATTATATTATTAAATACGCATATCAATAGGTAATCATTTTCGGCTTGGATCACGCGTCAATACTTATGAAAATGCTTTATTTTTATTCGATGAAGTGTGACATTAATGTCACAGTAGAGTTACGCAATTCGCATGGAGAAGTTAGAATCGAAAACTTTATCAGACTTACTCGTGTATAAATGCTTTATTTTTATTGGAGGAAGTGTGACATTAATGTCGCAGTAAAGTTACGAAAAACAAAAACTTTATTATTTGGGTAATTATTTTCGAAGGCGAACCGGAAATTTTCTGGTACTACAATTGTAATCATTATGCATGCATTGTTTAAAAGTAAATCATATCTAGCATTTTTGTCGTCTTCAAAAATAATTACCCATTTGTGTAACATACGTGATAGGACCCTTCACCAAATTTATATCAGATATTGTATACATGTTATTTAACAATGATAAGGACGCCTTTCCTGCATCCTTCTCGTCGGTCGATGATTTAACCAAATCAAATCGTGGAATTTTACGCCTTCAGTAACGCCCACTTTCCTTTACTAATTCTTCTGGCTCTTTTTCGATTCTATCGGTAACTTACTGTGCCATTGAACAAAACTTATTTATACTACTGAAAATACAACCTATCATTATACTTACACTAAAATGGCGCAAATTATTGCAAGAACACAGATGTTTTTAAAAAATTTTCAAACCAAATGGTACTCGTAAGTATTTTTAATTTTTTAAAAAATGCTAACCTTTTAAAATAGGAATATAATCAAAATCTTTCTTTAATCAGAAGTTCGCCTTCTACCGTTTATAAGGTTAAACTTAATGCTATGGTGGTTCCTAATGATGGCACTATAAAAAATGATTTTATCACGGTCAGTATTCCTTACAATCAAAATTTCTGTAGTCTCAAAAAAGAGGTCCTTAAACATACGTCCTTCCAAAACTTTGGAGAGGATCAAATCACTGTCGGGAAATTGAACGATGAGGCGGAAATTGAGGAAGTGTTTGAAAAATACAATAAGGAGAGGGAGATAAGGAAAGTGGGCGTTACTGAAGGCGTAAAATT